CAAAAATATATATCTCTATCCGTCTCTCTCTCGCTATACATCTTATCAAATGATGGCAACATTTTTCACAGTTTTGAAAGTGATTGTTTGGTAAAAAAATTGAATGTGAAAGTTGCTCTGCTGTTGGCCAATTTCGAAATTCTTGGCAACAAAGCGCAGCAGATAAATGGCCAAAGATAAATTGTATAAAGCTAAATGATAGCAGCTCTCGAGAGCATTTACGATTTCAAAAGTAAATTGATATCATATACAGATTTTGCATTGCTACAAAACGTCAATAAGCAGTTACCACAAAAATGCAGCAGCAACAGCAGCCGACGCAGCCAAAGAGGAAATGCCAAGACGCAAGACAAACAATAAGCAACGCACGCAGCCAAAGAACCTGGCGAGTCAGCGAGCGAAACAAACAAACAGAAACTTGTATCTGAAAGATACAAAGCACACACACACACGCACACACACATGCACATACCTGCACACAGACAAACGCATAGCTTTGGCGCTGTCTATGCGCCCTAAGCGCGCAAAAGAACTTTTAAGCCGAATGGAAAACACAAAATAAAAAAGCCAACAAGTCGAAGAAGCAGCGTGGAAATGCTTGGAAACAGCAATAGACCTGGGTCTGCAGAGCCAGAACGATGGCTGAAAGCAACGTTCGCTAGACAAAACTTGCTTGTGGGATCTTTGACCTGCAATGTCGACGACGACCGCGGCAGAAGAAAACAACAACGTGGAGCAGGAGCTGAGCGCCCGTCAACGCCTCGACTAAGCCCATATAGATACACACATATACATATGCATATGTGTGGCTGTTTGTGTCTTTTTTAAGCGTGTGGCTTGACTTGGTTTTTAAATACAAAATTTTAACAGTTAATACCTGTTGTACAAAACATGAAAAAAGGCGCCACGAAAATGCAAAATGCAAAAAAAACTATTTCATTTTTAGCTCAAGCACTTACCTGACTGTAGTTGTTGTTGTTGCTGCTTGTTGTTGTTGTTGCCGCTGCTGTATATTCCATAAACTCACGCACACACACACACGCACGCACAGTTTTGCGTTTCTTATTGGAGAATTTCGGTATGGCAAATGCCGCTATTTGCAAGCTATTTGCAAACTGATTTGTCACACACACGAGCCTGGCCAATAAACCACATTTGCAAGCGCTGACACATTGCACATTAATAAATAAATATATATATATAAATATATAAATATGTGTGTATATATATTTTATATACGTTGTATGCACATAAAGATTGCTAACGCATATATTTCGTTAGTTACGCCGACAACATTTCAATTCGATTTGTTTGTTTTGTTTCCAATTCAATTCAATTTTTATTATTGCTCAACTTTATTTGTATTTTATTTCACTTTTTATGCGCAAAGCCAACAGACGTGAACAAGCCGAGCGAGCGGCGCAGCAGACAACTCTCCCGTTGCTCTGCTCAATTCGTACTGAGCTGAACTTGGCCTCGGACGCCATCTTAGCCTGCATTGGAATGTTAGTGCGCGCGTTTGGAAGCGCAGAGAGCGCAACGCATTCCAGCTGCCAGCGCTTAGACTTCCAATTGGAACGGCCACTGCTTATGTGCCGATCGCGCTGCCAGCAACAACTTCAGTTGGAATTCTGCACTCAATTGGGCTGGACGTGTTCGCGGCTAACTCGCAGCTTCAAATAAATAAAAAAATTTGGTGTGTTTTATTTTAAGTGTAAAGCGTTAAAACAATATTAAAATAAAAAATTAATTTACATTAAAGACTAAACTTTAGTTTAGCGGATATAAATTAAGTGATATCGCAGATAAATATCAATATATCAAATACTAAAAGCAGTTCTCTCTCTCTCTCTCTCTCTTCCTCTCTCGTTGCAGCTCTCTCACAACTCTCATTCCAGTGTGTTTGTGCACTGTTTACTTCCAGCCACTGTTTGTTCTTTAAGCCGCGTACAGCGTGTAAGGCATAGAGTAGAAGAACAACAAACAAAGCTGTTTGCCGTTGTGGAGAGTTGTTATTGTGTTGGCTATGAAAATGATTGGCAGCGACTACGTACTGGAAGCGCACAACATATTCCACACCACCGAGGCAAGTGCACTGGAAGCCTAGCAAACAAGCTTCCACATTGAAGTCTTTTGTTTTGTGTTCTCTCTTACATACTCACTCTCTCTCTCTCTCTCTCTCTCTCTGTGCAGGTGGACGGTGGTGGCTGTTTCAATGGTGCCGGCAACTCAGCGCTGGTGCTCAAAGGCGTCAACCTGACCGTGCACAGTGGTGAGGTGATGGCCATACTAGGCTCAAAGGGTAGGCGACCTGACCTGGAATCACCTGTTTATATTGGCAGCATTTAAAGAAATTTATTTTATTTTTTCTTAGGCAGCGGCAAACGCGCTTTGCTGGACGTGATTGCAAGACGTGCGGACGGCGCCACGCGTGGCCAGGTGCTGCTCAATGGCTCGCCACTGAGCAAAGCGCTCTTCCAGCAGCGCTGTGGCTATGTGACGCAATCCTGCACCTTTGTGCCCGGGCTGACGGTGGCTCAAACATTGCACTACACGCCCACCATTGTATGTGCTAAACGATCTGACTTGGCATGATTTAAAGCTTTTGCTTACTTCTAGTTGGGTGGTTATCTGAAGAGCTCCAAAGTGCGTCAAGTGCTGGCAGATTTGGCGCTTTCGCAGGTGGCGCACAAACGCGTGGAGTACCTCAATATAAGCGAGGCCAGACGCTTGGCCATTGGCATACAGTTGGTGCGAGATCCAGGTTAGTTAGTCGGCCAATCAAATAGATGCAGTTATATTAAGCTAACGACTTTCAGTGATGCTGCTGCTGGATGAGCCCACCCAGGGTCTGGATCCTCTCAGCGCTTATCTGCTCATCTCTATACTCTCGAATACTGCCAAGAAGACGGGCTGCGGCATTTTGCTGTCACTGGAGAAGCCACGCTCTGACGTCTTTCCCTTTTTGGATCGTGCGCTGTTCCTGTGCCTGGGCGGCGTTGTTTACTCTGGTGGCACTCGCGCCATGTTGGAGTACTTCCATGCCATAGGCTTTCCCTGTCCGCAGCTGGAGAATCCGCTGATGTATTATCTATGCCTCTCCACTGTCGATCGTCGCAGTCGCGATCGTTTTCTCGAGTCCAGCCAGCAGATCGAGGCGCTTGTCGAGCGCTTCTCCAGAGAGACGCCCATCTCCGATGCGCCGCTGAACAACATGGGGTCGGGCAAGGTGCCGCTGGCCTATGGCAAGCCGGGCGAGCTCAAAGTTTGGATCATGCTGTACTTGTAAGTTTACGAAATGGACGTTTTTAGAAATTTTTGTTGATACGAAGCTCTTTTTTATATTAGAAAACTTTTGGCCTCAACGTTCTCCTGCGGCGTGGTGGGCATGAAGACACTCTTCCTGCGCTTACTGCTATTGCCCATATCGATGGCTATCTTGTGGGTCTTCTATACAAATCTAAGCGTGAGTTTAGGAGTTTGCTTTAATTGAATATCTATTTCATTTTCATAATCCTGCAGGACGATGCCAGTGGCTTCTTCACCAGAAACGGCATGATACTGAATATACTTGGTCTGTCCTATGGCTGCGGTATACTGACCACCATCTCCTTGTGTAAGCTTTGTAAGCTAATCTTTAAATGGCTGACTTAAGGCTTCTCTCTTTGCAGTTCCTATTTGGCGCAAGAAACTCTCGCAGGATACACCGGAAGGCCTCTACACGGGCACCACGCTGCTGCTGTCCTACAACTCCGTTTCCATACCCTTCTCAGCAGTGTCTGCGGCTCTGGCCAGCTGTGTTATATATCCGTAAGAGATCTAATCTATAAACATATATAAATCCTTATTAATCACTTTTAACAGCCTTCTCTTGGACACGAAGTTTAATAGTGGCACCGTGTTTGCCTACCTGTTTGTGGCACTTTGGTCCAGCTATGTGCTGGCCGAACAGATGACCATTTCCTTCTTGCTGGTGGTCAAGGTGCCCTTCAATGCAGCCATAGCAGTGACCTATGTGCTGGTCATCAGCATTGCCCTGGCCAGCGGCACAGTTCGGCAAGTTTTAAGTGCGAATATGAAAAGTCAAATTAAATCTAATACAACATTCCAACTGCAGCTCGTTTAAGGGCTTGCAGCCCTGGCTGCAGGACAATACGAAGGGCACGCACACGCGTTACGCCTCTTCGCTGCTGCACAGCATCGCCTTTCAGACGCGCAAGCTCAACTGCACGCCCACGGCCTCTGTCATTTGTCCAAAACCCACCGATTTTATGCATGAACGCTTGGGCCTACCGGATCCAGATGTGAGTGCACCTATTATATGTGTCATATCTTTCCTTTCTTTTGAATATTTTTATGTCTCAGGAAACAATCGATGTAGCTGCGTCCTGCGCTTTTGCCGTTGGCTTGGCCGCCTTCAATATGCTGCTCTATTTGTTCCCAATGCCGCGCTGCGTGCGTCAAAAATTTAAAGACTAAGAATAGCAATTTATATTTGCACAGCACTAACTTAATTTATATGATTTATAAGATTTACTTAATTAAAATATAATAAAACAGCACAAAAATAGTTTTAATTTTACGCGCCGCCAGGGCTACACTGGCTTGATTGCTAAGCAATCGATAACAAATTTCTCAATAAGCCCCGATAACGCAGGGCTGCATTGTCATATTTCGACTGTTCGTTAAGCCTTCGATAACACATTTTTCGGCAAGCATCGATAAGGCAGGGCTACATAGCAAATCTAAGTTAGGCTTGAGCCTAATCGATAACAAAAGTTTGGCGCGCATCTTAACTTTTAGATAATCAAAGTTCACAAAAACAAAACCTATTATTTATCATTTTATTTACAAGAAAACTTAAAATTAATATAATTTTCGCAATGAATACAATCGAAAAACATTAGAAATACAAATTCTTGAATAGAAATATTTCGTTTAAATTTTAGCAGCTGCAGTTCGAAATGATTTTAGCTTTCGTTTTTTTATGTGTTTTCTTTTTCAGTTTAACAATTGTCTAACGACTAAAAATATGTTTGTTTTATTTAAATAACTAGATACACGCATGGAAATTCATTAGAACGAACGCATCTGATTGAATGAATGTACGCGAGTGTTAATGGGTATTCAGGGGCCATCAATAGCCGAAGACGATGAAAAAATGCGAGCAATAGCTGAAATCGGGAAGTTATTTTGATTTGTGTACATATATATATATATATAAAATACTGTGGCACCTATATAGTTGCTGCTGGAGGGGATTAAAGTGCGTTAGTTTACGATGAAGGCATACAAAATATGGGTTATATAGTTCGAGGGCTGTGCTGGGCTGGGCTGGGCGCATGCCGATGCTGACCTGGAGCTCAGTCCGTGTCGTAGTAGGCGTAATCATAGCTGGTATCCTCATCGGCATGTGGCGGCCGTTTGGACTTGCTCTTCTTATCCTCCTTTTTGCTCTTGGCTGATTTCTTAGACTCCACTGGAGAGCTTGTGGTTGTTGTTGCTTTCGTTGTGCTTGTTGTGGGGCGTCTTGTTGTGGTTGTTGTTGTTGTTGTCACTGTCGTTGTTGAGCTGGTCGCCTGGGCGGTCGTCTTCGGACTAGATGGCGCCAACTGTGGACTGTACTGCGAGTTATACTGCTGCGAAGTCTTCTCCGCCTTGTAGATATCAGCGCGTAGCTTGTTGATGCTGGCAGCGCCAAAGTTGAGCGATTGCGCCGTCTTGAAGAGCTCATCCTCATCGCTTAGATCCGATTGCTCCTGCTCATGCTCCTTCTGATAGGTGGACTGCTGCTGGCTCCTCAGATGGCTGTGCGCCTGCTGAAAGCCATGCGGCTGCCTGCTCGATACGGGCGCGTTGGTCGTGCTCGTGGACGTCGTGGGGCTGGTGGATCTGTTACGCAGAAACTTGAAGCGATTGCGTGGAAAGTCATTCTCATACAGCTCCGGATGGTACTGTCCGTCATCCTCGTCCACATTGTAGTGCGGATTGGCTGTGGTGGGCAGCGCAGCTGTCACAGCCGTTGTCTTCTTGGAGCTCGGACTCTGGCTGGGACGCAGCGTTTGTTGCACCTGATAGTAGCTCGGCTCGTAGGCCTTCTTGTACGTTGTTGGCTTAAAGGTGGTGGGCGTAAAGGCATCTCTTATGGCGTGCGTGGACAACTTCTTGCTGGGATTAGCTGTGCTGGTGGTGGTCGGATAATAGAACTCATCGTCGGCATATCGCTGTGTGGTTGCCTTGTAGGTGATGCTGCCGCGGCTGGTGAAGGTGCGCGGCTTGGCATTGGAAGCAGAGGCACTTGGCGAGGACTTAAATGGCGATGGCTCCTGGCTGCCCACGCGCGTCAACTGCTGTGCCGTTGACTGTGTACGCGGTCGTTGATACTGTGGCTCCAGCTGGGCGGGCTTCCGGGATGCACCCTGGCTGGCCTGGAACGGCTGGGGCTTGGCCAGTTCGGCGAATTCATTGTGATTGATGTAGTTCGACTCCTGTGGACCGAGTTTCTGCTTGCGTGCTGACACTGTTGGCTTATGTCGTCTGGTGGTCTCCTTGTCAAAGTCCTGGACATTCTTGCCCGTCAGCTTGGTCGAGCTGGAGGGCAGCTCCGTGCTCTTGTAGCGGAACCCGTTGTTGGGATTATATGTGGTTGGCTGAATGCGCTCCTGGGTCTGGTAGTCATTCGAGCCGAAGCTGAAGCGGCTGGTGATGCCGTTACCTAGGCGTGGAGTGGTGCCCGCTGTGGGCGCCAAGGTACTGGGCGTGGTCGACTTATAGTGCTGCGTATAGTCCTGGAAGCCTGTACTAAACGAAGCATGCAGCGTTATCTTCTTCACGGATTTGGTCGATGGAGCAGCTGTGGTGCTGGTGGTTGGACTTGCGCTGGCACTTTGGCTGGTGCGCTGTCCGCGCGTGGGCGTGGCACGCGTCTTGCCAGCCGCCTCAGTGGTCTTGCGATTGTAATCGTTGAAATCGTTGGGCCTGGGACGCGGCGGCTCCTCGTCAAACTCACGCCCGCCATGCCGATTGGCAAAGAAGTGCGAGCTGTGGGAACCCTTAAAGATATCATCGATGTCTTCTGCGGATGCCAGCGAGAGACAAGAGCGTGATTAATTTGTGTAATAACTTTGAAGATTCCATTGTTGTTTGTTAACTTACGCTTCGAGTCGTCGTTGTAGTTGTTGTTGTTGTTGTTGTAGTAGTTTCGCTCAGTGGTTGTTGTTGTGGTGGTTGTTGTTGTCGTAGGCGTGTAATAGCTGGTGATGGGTCGTTTGGTTGTCGGCGTGCTGTCCGCACTCGAGCTGGAAGCAGTCGCCGCATAATTATGTCTGGGGCGCGACTTTTGATCGCCGCGATTCTCCTTGGAGCGACGCACATCACCTGCAATCAGGTCAAATCGTGTATAATGAATGAGACAACATAAGTGGATCATTATCTACCACTTTCGGCACGCTGCAAATGGAAGGTGGGCTCATCCTCCTGATTAACGCTCTTGCTCTCATCGCCTGACCGATACAAATCGTTCAGATATAGCGACGTCGACTTGTCGCAATCGACATCCGCCCAGTTGGCGCAGATCTGCAGCTCCTGGTCGAAGGCCGTGCTATTTGGGCAGAGGAAGCGATAGTCCTGCACCTGTTGGACAAACGAATTAACTCTTCGATGTGAGAGCTGCGCAAACAGTCGCATTAACAGCAAAAGCACATAACCAGATCAACATGCAAAATTCAATTTGATAAGTGAGCAAAATTAGTTAAAAAGCGATTTTTTGGTTTCTTTTCTCTGTGGTTAATTAAAAAAAAAACTGGCAACAACAATAACAACAACAGTAAAAGTAGTTGAATTTATGAATAAAATATTGTATATATACATTTTGAATTATATTTTACACAGTCTCTATAAAAGTTTCAAATCTGGATTAGAAAAAAAAGATTTTTTAAATTTTCGAAAACTATTTTTGATATTTATTTGTAGTTTTCAAATTAAATAAGTAATAATAGAAGTGCATATACAATTTAGCAAATAATTCTAGTAATGCATATTTCAAGTAAAGGTATAGGTCGGCTTGGATTTAAACCAAGCCTAAATTTGTATATATATCTGAATTTCTATGATACATAAAACCTTCGAAACTCTGAAGGAAATATGGCACGAATTTTTCTAGATAAGTTCTTAATACAATTTTGAAAGCATTAGAATAAAATTTGTATCATTGTAATTTAAATCTGAAATTAAAATGATTTAAAATGACGAAAATCAATGCAGCTTTAATGGTCTTCAATTTATGCTTACAAACCAAGTCAAATTAGCTATCGATTTTATCTGAAATTATGTGACATATCGATAAAAAGAAATTATAACGGTTACAATACTGCACATGCACATATTCGAAATTTCAAGACAATCAGCAATGCGCTCATTCAAACAAGTCCACAGACAAATAGAAATAGCTAGATCACCGCACTTTATTTGTATGTTTTCGTAGTTAATATTTTTATATAATGATTTATGAATTTACAATGAAATGGCTAATCATACAGAAGTTTTATATAGCCATATTTTATCGATAACTTAAAAAGCTGCCGTAATATAGTTATCGAAAATTGTATCACTCTTGCTTGGCCACATAATGTATAGGCTGACCAAGCAAGAGTGATACTATTTTCTCTTACTATATTTCGTTTTCTGTTTCATTTATTAAAAAATTTCAGCAATTTAAAAATTCTATAAGACTTGCCATTTAATTATAAATAATCTTACGTCTCTCAAAAGTGTAAAAATACTTTTTTTAAATGTTTAAGATGCATATATATATGATTAGTGAAGCCGATGAGCTCAGTTGCTCTGCATATCTATCTGGTCGTTCTCATTAACTGAGTGTTCTTATAAGCCATTTGTGATAATATATTATGTCATTCGACTCATTTGATGTTTGCTAAATTTGTGTTAGTTAGAAAGAAGGGACTAGAAAGTCTAGAAGCTTCACAAGCTAGAACTTGTATAAAAACATGTTTACTTAGGCACAGGGTATCTAATAGTCTAGCATAGCCGCTTATCATATAATAAAAAAATATATTTCATTTCATTCATTAAAGTTAATGCTCATGAAATTAGTTTATATAGTATAGAACTTAAGCACCTTCTCAGTTAAATGAGAATCTGTAAGCTGTGAATATATAGTCATAACCGTTAGTATAAAACACTTTATTCCAAAAGCAGTATTTAGTAGTTATAGACTAGTCTAAGTCACAGATATAATATAAGCTGGCATACATAGTCAGCGATGTCGTACGGTGCATATCGTGACAATAGTTGGAAGAGCCGTGGCAAGGTTTCGACTTTAACAAGCCAAAGGCCGTAGACGAACTTTGGCATTTGTGTGCTTTTTTCTGCTGCTTCTTCTACTTGTGCTTTGTGGCACTTGGCATTTGAATTGGTATCCGGCTGTGGCAGTTGCCACCAGATGATGCTGCTGCTGCTGCTGCTGCTGCACACATTTTGCCGTTAATTGAGGCGAAGTGAACGTGTTCTCGATGTGGCCCATGTGGACATAGCATACATATACATATATGTATGTGTACATAGATGTATTTATTTATTCTATAGTAGGCCAATTGAAAACTCAAAATCCTTATGTATAGTATAGTTAAAAACCCACACCATTTTGACTTGGGCATTATTTACTTCGTTTAACATGGTAAGAGAGGCTGGTGAAGCCACGGTTGATGCACGATGCTCAATGCCCAACTCCTTTAAACTAGGCAAAAATGTATCTATTTCGCAAAATGTCTGAGCTGAATCAACAGCAAACTGATGTGTGTGAAGAGGCCGTTTCGAGCGTACTGGATGATGTGTTCAAGGGCAAAGCCAGCACCATATTCAACTACGGCAGATGGCCAATTGGCGCAAGACGGAACAGCAAAGTGGACATGATTGATCGTGTTCTATGCGAGCTGTTTAGCCACGTGTACACCATGGAGGTGACTATGGAAATCAATATATCCATCAGCCAGATGAAACAGTATTTAGTAAAAGGCCAATTGATTGACACAACAGAGGAACACTTTGTCGCATCGCCCGATGATGTTTATTTGTATATAGAAAAGGTAATCGGGCAGCTGCAAGAGCAATCGGATGATGCGATAGCCTCCAATGCTTATCCCTATGCACTATTTACCATATGCGTGAGGCAGACCAATTTGGAACGATCGCTGCATCTGCATGGCAGCCTGCAGCTAGTCCATTTGATGGCTGTGGATCACTCGGAGATGATGCTACAGCTGCGCACACCGATGGCCTCATTGTTAAAGATAATCAGCGCGCTATCTAGGAATACCAAAACGCATATCAGATACTATAATATACGGCTAACACGAATCCTCAAGGACTTACTAGACAGCGACGAGAGCACTGTGATTATCAATTATACAGCTGCACCGAGTCTACAATTCGACGCAGTTGCGGCCATGGACTGTGCCAAGATCTGGAAGGCGCTTTATATGCGAGAGCGCAAGAAGTGCCATTGCCTGAGTAATAAGCTGTTTGGGCTAAAGCTTTGGAGCGCCAACGATTACAAATTTCAGCTGAATGAGCTGCTGGAGTTGCTGAAGGAAAACAACACCAGCACTCAGCTTGAATTCGAATTACCGAAGCAACGCAATACCTATACCCAGTGCAAGCCCAGCCAATTCTATCAGCTGAAGCAATCGGTGGTGCTTACTGACTGTGACAATGTGGGGTACGACAGGGAGAGTGAGCTTTCCGATCAGCTGAATCACATCAAGGCAGATGCGAAAGCCAACCTAGAGGAAATGCTGGAAGTACAGCATATTGTCACACAGCTGTCCATCAACTACGAACAGAAGAGCGAGCAGCTGAAGCAGAATAATCAAATATTGGATCACCTGCAATTCATGCTGGCGCGGACCAACATGAAGATGGAGAGGCAGCGAAACATATTTCAGCGCAAGCTAGCCAAGTATTACGATATGTTTAAGCATTTGTGGATGCATCAGCGCAGGGAGCAGCAAGTGCAGGAACAGAAACGACAAGCGGAACTATCGAAGGTGCTCAATGACATCTTCAACGTGCTGCATAGGACCCATCAGACGTAGCAGCTGCTGGAAGACAGCGACAACAAATCTGTACGCTAGATCTGTCCAACACTCTCAGTCTGTTGTACTTTCTATCACTCTCCGTATAACTCGTATCTGTCTCCGACTGTAGCTTGTAAGTGCGCTCTCTTTCTCTATCTCGCTCGCTCGCCTGCTTGCGACGTGGAGTTAATGGCTCGCACTGAATACTTTATACACTTAAAGGTCAACGATAAGCCAGCAGATGCTGTTTGGCTGCAACTGGCAACACTGACTGGCGACCTGGGCAGTCACGAAGTCTCATCAGACACATAGATATCTCCCCACCTCGACCCATCCCTTTGCAGGTGCTCCCCCGGCACTCTTCTCAATTGATGGGGTGGGGGCTTTGTAGCTGTGCATCTTTGCCATTTAAGCTGACACCGACACAGAGCGCCCTTAAGTTAACAAATGTCCAATGCTTTGCATTTGCATCTCTCTTTTTTAGTACTTTGGAATTCCTCTGGCCCTATGGTGGCCACATGCAAATTGTCAATGTCTTTTACAACAAAATGTGCATATATCTATTAAAATTTGATCAACTTCATGTTGTGAAATGTCCAAGATCATCCAAGGAATTTAGACTGGCAAGAGTCGAAGGCTGCGGCTGCTTGTTGGCTAAGCTATTGTTTACACCATAACTTGAGTGTAATAACGATAAGTATGTGCAGGCACGCTGGTACTGAGTGTATGCCACAGCCAGATACCCTGTAAATAATCGTGCCCTTGCAAGTCTGTCTATAGTTGAGCTGGTAAAAAGACAAATCTGATGCAGCTAGAAGTGCGTCAGTAATCGTGACTTTGTTTCGTCAAAGTATGACACTAGAGCATACCCTGCATTTATGGTATATTGTCTTTGTTAATGTTAGAGAATGGCATTGCTTAGAGGGACAGCAGTATCTTGTAGACGACTCACTCTATCTCTACCTATATCTCTAACACTAACTGTAAAACTATTTTCAATCAAATATAGTTATCAAATTCATGAAGTCTGGAATTTATTACTGAATCTCAAAGCAGTCTATTATTTTTAAAAAGTTATAGAAATTCTAGAAGCTTGCTTTCCAAATGCTTTGTTGTATTTGGAAAGCAATCTTCTAGAATTTCTGTAAAGAAGAGATAAAAATGCATAAATAATATAATAATAAATATAAATAGAAATATATATAAATAAATAATAATATAATTTAATAATTTGTATTAAGCATAATTATGGTAAAATTAATTGAAAATATTTAGGATAATATATATACATATTAAATAATATTAATACTTATTTAAAACTTCCATACATTCATATATATATATTTACAAAATGAAAAAAAAAAAAAAATAAAAATTAAAAAAATCAAACATTGTATATACGTTTGGAGTCTAATGCCGCTGATAATGTTTTCTGTATTAAATAAATATTTTTAATATTAAATATAAAACTTTAATTGTTAAGTAAATAAATAATAATAGGAAAAATTTAAATAAATTTATTTTAATATTTCCCACAGCATTCAAATTCAAAAATATTTCTAAATACATAAAGATTTTCGATTTCGATTTAAAATTGATGCGAGGAATATGTTTACAGCTATACAAATCTTATAGGTGCATAGGCAGCTTGGTTACCTTGAAGCGCTTGTCGTGAAAAAATAACTTAAAGATATAAGCAGATTGAACAATAAGCAACTAATACATTTTACGTTTTTTTCAGCCCGCCCTTTCACATTCTATAAAACCTATATACCCAACATTAACTATTTTGTAATGCATCCACATATTTACAGCCTAAGATCGAATGCCCCAGTCAACTGCTAATGCTCTGTTGTTGTTGTTGCTGTTGTTGTTTTTAGCTATCGCATAACACTTACCCCCACTCCAGGCAGCTTGACACAGACATGGAACATTTGACACTGAGTCTCGGGATCGGCGTAGTAGCCGCCAAGTATCTTGTCACGGCAGGTGAACTGCGTCTTGGGCATATTCTGCAAACTGTACGTGGGCCAGGGCCTGCCAAAGGCATCGTCATCCTCGTCTAGCAGCTGCGCCTGCCCCAGCACATTGCCGCACAGCAGGGCCATTGCGGCGGTGGCTGCAAAGATCAACAAACATAAAAATCGTGAGCTTTTCGAACAAAATTTGAAACTCAAGTGGTGCAACCGCCGTAGCAGTGGCGGCCAGTGCGGTTGCCCCGCTGACCTTCATCTAAATGTGGCTCGCGCACTCGCAACACTTTCGCTTGCAAGACGAGGCACATGATTTATGCGTGTGCCTATGTGCCTATGTGTGTGTGTGTGTCTGTCTGTGTGTGTAACTGATGCTCAAGGCTGGCTAAGTTCTGTGCGCGTGTGTTGTGGCTGTAAGCTTTTGTTTTTGTTTTCATTTGACAATTGATGGCTTTTTGATACAAAAAGACATCATTAAGACTTGAAACCGCAAATTCCCACAGCGCGATGTTTGTACACTTGTGTCAATTCAGCTACCAAATTGGCCACAAATCCACAAAAATATCTCTGTAAGTCCCAATATGAGGGTCAAACAATTAAAATACCACGTCAATCAAATATTATGGATTACCTATGCCAAACAACATGCAAGTACAAATGATACACAAAAAGCCACTTACACATGTGAGATGTCTAATTACTGTGGAATGGCACTGTTGCTAGACTTTTGGCAGGCACTTTTATCAATCAAGTGCTATGGAATGCTCCTATGGACATGTGTGAATGCCTGCCACACGACAAGCTAGTTCCATCAAGTTGCCTTGACACTGTTGTCGCTGTTTTTGCAGGCACTGTTATGGTTGCCTCCTATACATGTTGCTATGTTGATACACTAAAAGCCAGCTGCACACATGAAATGTCATAAGTAATCATGATCACTTTCAGGCGGCTCTGTTGCGAGACTTTTGGCAGTCACTATTTCCATTTAAATGTCTAAGATCCTATCCCGCTGTAGGTGAGTGTGTGCCACTGTGACATTTGATACTCTCGAATAGCTCACACTGTGGGCAGACCTTTTACAGGCACTGTATATAATAAAAGTACCTCTATGAAAATTTATCTGGAATATTCTAGTAGTTGCTATATCAATAAATTAGTTGTATGTGTGCAATGTCTAACTATACTGAGAAGCTTTAGCTGGCGTTGTTGTCTAACTATTTGCAGTCACTGTTTTCAGACAAATTTTATAAATGCTCAACCAATATTTGTTTTATATACTATATCCACAAAATTTACTTTGATTTCCTATGCCTTACCCTGTTGCCTCACTTGTGGCAGTCACTGTTACAAATCAAATACTATAAAGCACGCCTCTTGATACCCTATTTCACTATATGCACATTACAAGCAACTGCATGACTCTACTTTTGGCTGTCAGCCTTTTTGCAGGCACTGTTCTCTATTATGCATGACCCCTGTGGATACCTATTCTTGAATCAAGAGAGTACGAAGCCATACCAAAGGCTATTGCCACATGTGCAACACCTAATTAGCATGACGACTTTTGGCCGGCACTGTTGCTTGTCTTTTTGCAGGCACTGTTCTTGCAAAGCGAAATGGCAAACGGAAGATGCGCTTGCCGCAATTAAAGCAATTGCAATTTGCAATTGCAGAACCAATGCAAATCGCCTTGGCTCAAATTGCAGTCAAATTCGTTAGCTGGCGCATTGCGCAATCATCAGTTGGTGTATATAACAGGCACCGAGAGAGAGATAGAGAGGGAGAAAGAGTTGGGCTTTAAAGATTCGCATTGAATTCAAAGTGAATTTTATTTTCAATTCCAACAACTTTTTCCCTAGACATTTGAAATCTTTGCCTTTGTGAACTATGACTGGGCAGCAGCAGCAGCTGCTCCGGGAATTGCGGTTTTTGTTAGGCCAGGTCTTTTGTTTAACTTCAGCTGAAACCAATTTGCGTCCCAGACGGCTTCCGTGGGGCGTCGTCTATGCCGCTTAATGATCATTCAAAAGTTTTACATGCGCATATAATTATTTCTGACCCAATATTCATTTAAGACAAATTATTTATCTTGTCTATTGGGCGCATCTTTGTTGTTTTTGCCAAAACTCACAACTAATTGCATTTTACTTTTTGGGTTCGAGCAATATTTGTAGAAATTCCCATAAACTGATGCTGAGTTACGTTAATTTACGGACCTTGAGTCAATGCATAATTTCCTATTATGAAAGATTAAAGAGCCAGCCCCAGCTAATGATCATGCGAATTAATTATCGCGAAGAGATGAGCTCCGCATGATGTGATTGTTGGAATGCGCAATCAAAGCCACCGAGAGAAGGTCAATTTGATGCGTGCCCAATGAGCTAACGTTCCAAATTATGTCTGTCATCAGGAAGTGATTTCAATGAATCTTCAATTGTGTTCTTTCTTTAATGCGGGGGGAATTTTTTTGTCCGGCGTAATGATGAGGTCGAATTACCTGATGAGTTACTTTTTGCTACACTTTTTAGTGTCCATTAAAAATCTATTTATCAATCTTATTTCTCATAAAAAAAACTATTTTCCGTCATGTGCGCAAACTTAAGGTCATAAAAACAAGAATCTTCAACGAATAACCGACGAATTTAAAAAAAATTTGATAATTTATAATTATTTTATATTTTTATATATAAGAAGTAAACGGGCTTGAAAAGTTTAAAAAAAAGTATTTTTATATATATTAAATTAAAAAATAAAAAATAAAAATATAAAAATTAAAATAATTTAAATTCAAAATTTTTTAATCCTTAACTTTTGAACGGAAAAAGGTTTCCGGTGAATTACAATTTACATATTACTTTTAAATTCCCTGAAGGGTTTTAACTTATTCATATTTAATTATTTTAATTTAAAAAATTACTAAATAATTTTATGAGCTCTCAATTTGCCTTTAATAATTTTTAATTTTTAACCTATAAATGTCCCCGAAATAAATTAAAGTTTATAAGTTATTTTATTTCTCATTAGGGTTCCTCCAAATCAGTTTATTTAGCACACTTAAATTTGTGTAAAATTTATTTATTTGGAGAAAAAGAGAGAATTCATAAAAGTGTTTTGTTTTTTTTTTTTTAAATATTTAAATATACAACAAATTATTATATTTAAATATATGTATATTTATAATTTGTTATTTAGTTTTTCTCAATCTTGAAGACTTTTTATCATTGGAAAAAAATATTAGCTAAGAATTGTAAAAGTTTCTTGAAATTTCCATGAATGAATTTTTTTGCCCATATTTCTTAATTTTTTTTATTATTATAATTGCATAAAAGGCAGTAAGAAATCTTTAAAAAACCTAAATTTAGCTAAATCTTTGAAAAAAACGAAAAAACTTTATCTTAGTATTTTCTGAAAATCAATACATATATAAAAAATTTCTCTGAATCTTTACATAAGTGAAATTAAAGTATTGGAATATAAAAAGATATTTGGAAAATATAGAACTAAGCTGCTTCACGTTGTTTTATTATATATATAACAAAATATATTTTTATATTGTGTTCTATTTATTTATTTTCTTTTTCATATCCTATATCATAAATCGATTATTTCTAACAACTCACCCAGTAGAAGCGCGCTCATTTGATAGTTAAAAGTCGACATGGCGCTGTTCTTAGTTAATTAATCCAAAATCGAGGCGTATATCCACAGCCGAAGGTGTAATTTATAATATCCAAAGTAAGGAGGGGGCTTATCCGAAGTGCTTAAGCTGCTAGTTAAAGTAGATATTCACATGGAATGCACTGTAAACAGACAACACAACACGCAGAAAGATCATATAAATACGATTATTACAAAACGCACAACTATGTTTTTTAATAGCTTTTGATTTGTTCGGTTTTTTATGCTATTTTTCGTGTATTCTTGTTGCTGGAAAATTAACACAAAATCATCGAGCGATTCATTTTCTTTATATGAAACTGTTTGTCATGCCAGCGCTCAAGTAGAAAATAAGCAAAAAGTGCCGACAAAATGTTCAAAGCGAAAATTCTGGTATTTCTGCTTCTTTGCTGCTGCTACGTCTTCTTCTTCTTCGAACCGAGCTCGTATGTAAATGCGTAAAAATGTGTTTCGCAAGGTGCGAAAACTACGGAAAAGCCATTTAGAATGTGCAGCGAAACGTTGCAGACGTCTTTGCCACTTGACTGGGCAAACAGGCAGACTAACAAAAAGCACTCAGTCACTGACAGTCACAGACAGTCACAGTCACAGTCACAGTGACAGTCACTGGCTGTGTGTTTAACAAGTTGAACTACGAACCGCACGAGACGAGCCAAGCGAGAGGCGCAATGTTGCGCGTTTTGCGACTTTATCGTTTACGTTGTCGAAGCGAAATGATTTCTGAAAGCGAAAGGAAAAACCACTTGGGCCTCATCAGCAGAAGCAGCCAAGGCAGCCAAAGCAGAGGCAGCAGCAGCAGCCGCGGCAGCGACAGCGGCAGCGGCAGCAACGTCGCAGTCGGCAGCTGCGACGCGTCGCAACTAGAAGCTGCTTCAGCTTTGACCAAGCTTCGAGTCTAGTTGGGCGCATGTGTCGCATGCTTAACGCACATTACGCATACGCAGCGTGTGACATGTTGCATGCATTGTTGCTGCAGTTGCATTTTGGCATCGTTTGTCACTCACTTACGTCAGCTGGCGGCCACAGGGCTACAGCATCAGCTCATGCTTATGACCGCACTCCCACCGCAAGACGCCTGCAATTTCATGTACAGAAAATGTTTGTTTGGCTTGCAACTGGCTGAAGCGTCGGTTGCATCTTCCGCTGGTATTATGTCATAGTTAGTCATGGCGCGGCGCGGCATTGTCATTTACTCTTGCTGCTGCCGCGACGGCTGCTGCTGTTGCTGCTTGTGTCGGGGCAAAAGTCGCGCTGCTGCCGCGACGGCTGCCGCTGCTGCTGCTGCCTCTCGGCAATCCGGTTCGCGTATATGGGTAAGTAGTGTGGGGAATGCGCGGCATTTGTTGCAGTGTGGGAATTTGCACGCCCGCAGATCTAGCAGCTACGTTTACTGGGCGTTGCTATTTAAACATTTTTGTTTGCCGTTTCTGATCTGGCCAAAATAAAAACCAAAAAAAAGGCGGCGTGACGCCTAATGTCCATCACAGCGTGGCCCTAAACTGACAGCTTGGCATTTCAAAGTTGAGGTTGGCTGCCGGAAAAACAAAGCAGCTGCAGCATCATCAGCATCATCAAAAAAAAAATGTCAACTGAAGACGAGCCTGAGTTGACTTGTTGTTGACTTGCTGCAGCCCGGTTTAGCTGCGGGCATGAGCCATCCTATGTGCTGCGCCTGCAACTGGCTTCCCATCAATATTTTGCTGTTGTTGTTTTTTTTTCTAATTTCTCGGCTCATGTTCAGAGTTCAGCTGCAATGATTGTGTAACAGTTTTTCGGCAGGTCGACGGGCGATGGATGGGCAGAGGACTAGCAGAAGGGAGGGGAAAAAACATAATAAATGTTCAATTTATTTAGCTTGGCCTACGTTTTGTGTCATCCCAGGCAAAGAAAGGCTATGACTCACGCGATGCTGTTGCCCAACTGCGTGGGAAAGGCTAATAACTAGGAAGTGTCCAGACGGCCAAACTAAAGAAAACAAAACAAAATCAAACAAAAAAAAATAAAATGAAAAGCGAACGCCAAACAAAAGACTTAAGGCACGAACTCGCTTTCAGTTTCTTTTCGCATTACACAGCAGCCCAGGCACAATTCTAATTAGCGCCCGCTTTCAATTAAATACACATCAATTTCAATGGCCTCCGCCTGGCTGACATTGATAAATGCGCCACGACTTTGCTGTTCCAGCGGCTCAACAGATGGCAACTGGTAAAAGGGTCTTACAACAACTCGTTAAGAATTCCGATGCACGTAAATTATTTAATATTTATATTTTTTTTTTTTTTTTGGTTTTTCGTTTTATTATTATTTTGTTGTGTGTGATTATATAAGATAGTTGGCTGGTTGAATGCAGTAAAAGTGCCGAAAGCATTTGCACAATGTGTGGGAGCCAATGCAAAATGCATGCAGACATTCACCAACAGCAGCCGCAGCGGCAACTGCAGCAGCAGCCGCAACAGCAGCAAGAGTAAATTTCAATTAAGCTGAAGATGCGCGTCTGGCATTTGCTGGCAGCCCGACGCGCCAAAAAATGCCAAAAAGTTAGCATCAGGCCAGGCCAAGCGAGTCGAGCGAGGCTTTCAAATCAAAAACAAAAATTGGGAATGGGGTTGCTTGGGAGCTCAATGGCTGGGCATTTCAATTGCAATTGCTTGTCGGAGCCCATTGAGTAATTGTGCAGCAATGAGCATAAGCATGTGCGGCTGCCAGCAGATTTTCCGTTGATAAAGTGGAAAACCTCATAATAAGAAATCACATACACTCACACGCTGCCGGGCTGGCAGCAATTCGCATGGGCTGCGATTTGGTACGCCTGCACGTGGCAAATGCAGTCGCAGCTGTGCAATTTACAGTTTATGATGCGACACAGGCTTGCGAAATAGCGGCAACGGCGGCGGCGGCGACGGCTCAGGCTCAGGATTGGGTCAGCCTGGCAGCCGGGCAGTCAGTTGGCTGTTCGGTCAGTCAGTCAGTCAGCTAATTTGACAGTTAGCGAAACGCATTGCCACATAGATGTACTGATGCGCGTTTTATGCGTGCAATTACAAACGAAAGACTTAAGCAACGAACTTGTTCGACCAGCTACTGTCAACTTAATATTTGCACTCATAAACTGACCAAACTCTAGGCAGCTATAGGCATATGTATATATAAATATACAGATATATAGGCGCTGCATTTGCATTTGCATAAAATGCGCATTAGGCAGCACCCCCGCCATTAGGCGCAACTTGTGCCGAAATCTTTCCAGACGAAACGTGAGAAAATGTTATAGGCATTGCAGTTGCTAAGCTCAGTCAAACAACAAAATAAATAACAACAAAAATGTATATATATATATATATATATATATTGCAAATTATGGGAATGGCAAACGGCAAAAGGTGCTGCCTGGCAGCTGATTTCGCCAAGAATCCGGCGCGGCGCGGCGCGCAGTCTTGCAGATGCTGCAGCGACACCCAACAGATGGCTGTTATTGTTGTTGTTGTGCTATCTGTGACTAATTGCATAGCCATACAAATGCATTTTTCGTAATTATTTGCAACAATGTTGGACTATGTGTGTATGTGTGTGTGTGTGTGTGTGGAATTATTCATTGTAATCATGTTAATGAGCTTTCAGTCGAGTCTTTTGCTGCTGAGCATTGTTCATGTTGCTGCCGCTGCCGCTGCTGCTGCTGTGACCCAGCAGCCGCAACTGTCATTTCCTATAGACTCAGCATCAAGCATTAAATGCCAACTGACCAGGATGTGCCAAATTATGCGCATCTATTAAGCCAACTTTTCTTAGCTTATGTTAATTCAATTAAACGCCATTTGCCGTAACTTTTTTTTGTCACCCCGTTGCCGTTGCTTTTGCTGTTGATGTTGACTGAACTCTGCTCCCTTCGGCTTTTGGTGTCTTCTTCAATTGCTTTGCATTTGCCGCGGGCATAAAGTCAGAAAAACGTTTTTAAGGTGCGCCACTTGCTGAACGTTTGTTTCGGCTAAAACACGACAGCAACAGCAATAGCAACAGCAACAGCAACAGCAACAGCAGCCGCAGCCACAGCAGCAGCCCCAGCAGCAACAACAAACTCTCGTTTGTTGATTTATGCGTTTTGCAGCATTTAAATTGGCATTTATGTCAAATGGCGGCAAGCTATATTTTTGCTTTTGTTTAATGCATTTCGCTTTATTTGTTTTATAAGCGTCCTTGAGCACGATCGTAAACCGCTTTGCAGCATCGACACTTTTCCAGCAGCATCCAACAAGCCCTCAGCTCAGCAGTTCCCATGCCTTAGAGCATATACAAAAAATATCTATATATATATATATATATATATATATATGATTTTTTTTATTTTTAGCTGACATTCGTTAGGCAAAAAGTTTTTAGCATAATTTTTTGTTACTGAACGCTTTTTAATCGCTCGCAATTTTCGTTTCTTTATTGTCCCTCTAACTTGTATCTATGCAAAACTGTTTGAACCTTCGTAATTTGTCATTTTCACAAATTAAAAAAAAGTTTTCATTGTTATATAGTTGAGCTGTATTCGAGATCTTGACTTACGCTACAAGAGTTGTGCAATTTGTATAATAATCTCTGCTCATGTAAACAACCTTATTACATTACGTATACGACAGGCTACCGCGAGCGACTGTCAGACTCTCGCTTGAGTAGCAGAGGAATGTCGAGTTGCGAGCAGAGCAATATATAGAAATACGTTCTGTTTTTTATATGACTTGCTCTTAATTTAATTTGACTAACGGCAAGTAACGTTTGCCAGTAGCCAACATGCAGATATATGAGCTTCAACTTTGGCATTTCATTTGTATGGATAAAAAAGTTAACTGAACTAGAAGACTTCGACTTGCATAAGAACAGATCAAGGCAAGATTAATTAAACTAAATAGATTTCTTAGCTAATGAATAAACAGATAAAGTAACATCAAGTAAGATGAAGTAGCATCATCAGTTGATGTCAAACAAGAAATTGGCTTAATATAATATTTTATTAAATTAAATTAAATTCTCGTCTTATTATCTTTCCCTGGGTAAACTTGTTATACATAAAAGACAACATCCGAATTGCACTGAATCAAATCGCTGTCAATGCAGACGACGTGCCGAGGCGCTTTTCGGTCGTGTCACGAGCCCAATTCTAGTTTTTGTGTGTGTTTGCCCGCAGCTAGGCTCCATAGATTTCCCAGAACAGCTGAAATGCTAAACAACTCGTAAGATGCGATGCCAAGCACTGAAAAAGACTAAGTAGCTGAGAGTATACGACTGAGGGATACTCTCTTTTTTTTTTTTGGAAGAGAATGACAACAGAAAGGAATTCAAAATATGAAAAACTTTTAAGCTATGATAACTTAAGAGTATCTATGTACCTCAGCTGAGTTTACAGCTAGTTTCATGGCAACTAAAAAGGTTTGCAAAACAAACCTCATCATTTTCGAGTTAGCATATGGATCGACTCAGCCCTTAGTGCCAATCAAGAGTATATTAAATTTATGGTAATCGGCCAAGCTTCCTTTTGTTTCTTACACATCTGTTTAGCAATAACAATATACCCTATATAAAGATTCTCAATGGACTCAGAGCAGAGCAAAGTTTTGCCGTTCACAAAAGTTGGCTTAAATGTTGAGCTGAGCTTCCAGTTGCAATGTGCTCGGATGAACGCAGATGCAGACACATATGCAAGACAAAATGCCACTGGCCTTG